TATAATATTAAAAAACTTTTAATTATTAATATTTAAGATAAATTTTAGTAAATTTTTAGAGAAAGTGAATTTGAAATTTATAAGTATTATAATAAATTTTTAAGAGTGCAAATATTAAAAAGTAGTAGAGAATCAATAATAAACTGTAAAAAAATTAATAAAAGAATACTTAATTTTTATTGAAGAATTGAGGGAAAATATCAAATAAATAATATATTTATTGAAAATTTAAGAATAAATTTAAATTAATCTACTATATACATAAAATATTAATATCAATATGATATATTTGTAATTGAAAAAGTAAATCTCAAATTTAGGATAAATATAATAAATATGATATTTAGGAGATAATTATAGATTTAGAAGATAAATATAAAGAGTAATAACAAGATAATTAGATAAAAATAATTTAAATCATGTGATAAATTATGAAGTAAAAGAAAAAAGAAAGTTATATATAACTAAAGAAAGATTATTAAATTAAAGAAATTTATGTTACTACAATAATAATAATATTCTTTATTATAATATTTATCACTAAGATAATTATTATAGATATACATGTATAAATAAAAATTATGAATCAATTCTTCTTACTCTAATTTAAATTTAAAAGAGTTTATATGTAATATTAAAATCCAATAATATAATAAAGAAATAAAGGCTTATGCATCAAAAAATAGAAAGTTACCCAAAAATAATGTATTTTTCTGTAATAAACTTTTATTCAATATGATTTATTCTGAGAGTTGTAAAATACTTTTTCTTAATTTCAAAAAAAGTTATTCAAGTTTATTAACAAAGAATAAAATCAATTTCATTATCATAATTATAGAATAATAGACGAATTAGCACTTTAACTTATTTCTTCTTGGATGAATTTAAATGATATTAATCATATTTTTTGATAGAAGAATTTGAATTATTAATATAATAATATATATCTACACTGACTACATGTATTCGTCATTCAGGAGGAAAGCAAAATTCTGAATTTGCGCAAGTATTTGGAATTAATTCCTTATATCAACTCAATATAAAGTGAAAAATTTAAAAATATCTAGATAATAAACCTAAAAAATTAATCTAAAAACATTCGAGTAATAATGATTTATTCATATATTCATTAGTGTACGAACTTTTTTAATCTTGCATAGGCAATAGTTGTCAGATGGAAGTGTTATGATATAAACGCACGAGTAATTCATTATTAAAGAGGCTTGAACGCAACTGACTATCACTACATGCATTTAAGAACTATTTCATCTTACGATCTTTTATATGGTATAGTCATCACTCTATAAGAACAATGTTAGTCCAGAAAATCTAGTTCTTATAGTGAATTTGCTCTTATAGATTTTGATGCTCTTATAGAGAATGGTGGCTATATTTAGAAATCATCCATTGTGAACAAATCATATAAATAACATTTTTTATCATACGTATATGTTTGCCAGTTAACATGTAAATGAAGTATTGCCTTTCAATAAGTTTGTATGCGAACTCGGATACCCGTGGACCAATGCGTGATGATTCGCTAAGTTCTACCTCATTGAAATTCCAGCTAATTACCTCGTCATCAACGTCCAAAATAAGGAATGAACTTGCTAGAAAATAAACTATAGTTTTTTCTATATAAACAATATTTATTTAATCCATGCATTCATGAATAACATTCAAAATGTCTGATATATGTACATGTAATATATCTCATTTAAAGAAATATCATAAGATTCGTACATTCGTAATGGGTAGGATCACTAGATTCTGAGACATTAAGTTTCAAAGTGACAATTCGTTTTTTAACTTTCCGCTATGTGAAATGAGTAAACACGTGTTTCTCAATTTTCGATAGGAAAAAATTACCAATTTTGCCCGGCTTCAGGCTAGATTTAAATTCTAAATTCGCATCATGTAACAACTCGTGTGGCTGCTGATCAAAAGATTTGTACATTAATACGCATCCGGACTTATCGTTATTTTGTATCTGAAAACATATAAAAATATTAAAAAGATAACTTATAACGGAATTCAAAAGGCACCAAAATGATTGTGCTATATGCTAGACTACCAACGCCAACTGATCCAATAAAGTTTCATTTAGCGTAATAGGTCATATTTAAAAAAGTGTAATTTGTGCTTGTATTAAATTTGTCTACCATAAAAATCTTTATGGTGACTCAGACTGAGGCTGTAATTTTTATAAAAGAAGTTTCCGATTGTTCAATAAAAATACTATTTTTCTTTTGATTTCGACGCACGCAGATGAATTCAAACGCCCACTTTTAAATATAGAATAAATGAACCGAAGATAGGCCAAGTGTATAAGGATGTTCAAAAATTTTGAAAATAAAATTACCCTATTAGATATTTATTTGCTGCTGAATAGTAAAGGGTGCTAATACAAACTACTGATATACGTACCGTATTGTCAAATAAGCACCACTTGACTGTCGTTTTTTGGACTCCAAAATAGGGGGTGGTGCTTATTTCTGGAATATCTACCGAATAGCAAAATATAGCTGGTGCTTATTCTTGAGTAGTTTAAATTGGTGCAATATAAGGAAGATTTCTCGCTTTTCACAAAATAAATTATTGCTCCCCTGCTCAAAAAATTATTTATTTGTTGGTTTCACACAGTTTTCGTGCACATGCATGGGATACACAATAATTTGATCTGCGAGAAGCATGCAAAACGCGTATTATTACCTCTACCCAGACGATGCCTAAAACTCATATACTGCCACTGAAAAAATCATGATTATCAACTATGCAAAGACTCACGGTGTCCATAGTGCTGGACAACATTTCACAATCGATCATTCTATGATTTCAAGATGGACAAAAGATGTGTCTAAATTTCATCATGCAGCAAGAAAATGTTGACGCATTGGCTTGGTACACCAGCAGCATATCCAGCCGCTGAAGAAGCACTTGTAAAATGGGTTTTAGAATTTCACCAAAATGGACTTGCCATATAACTATGAGTATGATAAAGCATCAAATGATGTTCTTATTGGCAAATGAATTTGTTGAAACTTATCCAGATGCTAAAGACAAATTCTTGGCATTGAAATCATGGTTTTATTGATTTCTATGTCGCCATAAACTCGCTTTGCATTGAAAAACAAAAATTGGTCAACAATTGCCCCAGAAACATAATGAAAAAATTATAAATTTTCAATGATTTGTAATCAGCAACACCCAATACAAATACAATATGAATCAAATAGATAATATGGATGAGACACCTATTTACTTTGACATGATGGGATATATGATCATTGAAACCAAGAGAGAAAAACAGTTCAAATTTGATAATGGGAAATGAAAAAAATCGATTTACATATTCTAACCAATGGCTCAAAGCTTCCTTCTTTGCAATTTCAAGGAAAATGAATGTCTAAGAATCTTTCAAAGAGAATTTTGGTTTTAATGCATCCAAAAGGATGGATAGATGAAGTTGAAATACAATAATGATTTGAAAGATATGAAGAAAATGACCAATGGGAAGAGAAAACTGAGCTCTTTTGGTTTTAGACAGCTTTGAAGGACACAAAACTGATAAAATTAAAGAAATCAGCAAAAGAAAATACTGATCTTTGCATGATTCCTGAAGATCTTACCTCATTCATTTAATTTCTTGATATTTCTTTGAATAAACCCTTCAAAGATAGATTGCACAATAAATGAATGAATGAATGTGTACAGGATAATACAATTATACTAAAGAAGAAAATCTTAAGAAGCCTGAATATGCAAGTGGATACTTGAGGCTTGGAATGAAATTCCTATTGATATGATTAAAAAATTATTCAAAAAATGTGGTATTTCAAATGTATTGAATGATACTGAAGATGATTTAATTTGGAGTAATGAAAAACAAAACATATATAATAAATATATAATGCTTGTTTTTAACTGGTGCTTATTTATAGTGGTGCTTATTCATAATTTTCTTATATTTTGGTCTAAACAGGTGATGTCTATTTCCGGGACAATACAGTAATCAAAATTTTGCAAATTATCTATTTAATTCCAAATATAGTAAATTGAGGCATGGTGGTAGTGTTAATGGATCATGATGAAAATTAAAGAAGATATATGTACATGTACAGTACATGTTGTGCTTCTTGCGTCAGATGTCGCTTTGCCCAAATTGGAATAGAGGTTCTACTAAAGTTAGGATGCTGAAGAAAATAGATTAATCTTGACCGAAGGGAATCATGTGAAGCGACATTTGACGCAAGTTGAAATCTAAAGTACAACACATACATGTATACATGTATTGTGTTCTGTGTTTAATAAGTGACATGTTCTCATGACGATCTCCCACGCCATTTGCTAGCTGCATACACGCAGTAGCGAAATCAATGACGAAGCTATAAATTAAATTAGAAACTGCTCATCACACAATCACTCGCTAACAATGCTTACAATGGAAAAAAAACTTTGTATTGTTATTCGAAAAAGGAAACTAAACAGTGAAAAAGATCATCTATCGCTATCTCTATGCAATTTTAACAAAGTGCATGTACATGTACATGCATGTAGTGGAAATTATTCATAAAATTCCTTTTTACATGTACATGTATACATTATACATGAACGTGTACAACGAAAATTATAAATGCATATACATGTACATTATTACTCATAATAATAGTAGCTATACAACTTTAAAGTTACAACAAATGCCTTTAATAGAATTAAAATAATGAATTTGGATTCCTTTAAGAAAATCAACTGCCTGAGCTTAAAAATAATTATCTAATGTCATTTGTGAATGCATTATTATACTTGTTTTCTCATTTCTCATTTCTAATGTAATTTACAAGGACTTTTGTATAGCGATAAATATTGCATTGTCTGAAAATAAAAAATAACCTTAATTAGTTCATTTCGATCGTACATGCAGCTGTAGCGAGTATGAAAAATAAATTTATAAAAAGAACGGTTTCACTTCTAATGATCTATATAATCACTTCGATTATATCATGTCTGAATACACTATAATTAACGACTACCCGAGGCTTATCATTTTTATAACATCAAATTCATCTTGTAAGACATGTGAACATTGCTTGTTCGTTAATATCCCGACGTTCACCGATTATTTAGATAAACATGAACTTAAAAAGAAGGTGCCAAACTGCTTTGTTATTTTTCGGTGTGCTTTAACTTGGTCACGCCAAAAAACTTGGAAATGCGCCAATTCGGGATGTCTTCTCCACACATCACTCGATCGAAACGGATGTTCCAAGCTGGCTTCGAATATTTGGAAGCAATTAAATACAGAAACTAAAAATCTGTTCAAGGAGCTATATAAACAATTAGTTGCGTTTAATACAACTTTACCGAATACTAATACTGAATATTCCTTAAACACAGCACCAAATTTGCTCAACTATTTTGATAACTTTTGGGGCTATTATTAATCCTTAAAGTAATATTTGTAATTATCTTGTAGTAACATTTGCAATTGTAAATATTTTATAATGGACATGTGTAATGGAATTGTTAATATTTGTAATATAACACTTGCATTTTTTTATTTTAACTTTTAAAAATTTAAATTTTGTTTACTCGTGGTTCTATTGGAACAAATAATGAATGGTTTGATAATACTTGGATGTTACTGCAAGGGATCTTCTCCCTGAATAGTTGTTGAAATAAAAACTCGTCTCTCTACATTTGCAAATAAAGGGTTGTTTGCAATTAATGTTAAAGTTAGCACGGAGAAACACCATAAATGCACTCTCTATGAATGTAATTCTAGCCCGTACTTAAAATAAATTGCTAAAAATATTTTCTTTAAATACGCACTATTAAAAAAAAATCGATGAGGCAATTTTTGCATATAATCTTTGGTTCTAACCTAATCCTGACCCTGATCTTAAAATCAAAAAATAACTTTGTGTGCACAGATCACACATTGTTGGTTTCAGATCAAATTTTGCGGCAGAATTTTTCAAGGTGTTGTCGGGCTGTAAAATAAATCCGGCACAAGAAATTAAAAAACAAATATACTAGCTTGAAGAAATACAATTTCGATTTTAGTTCTAATTTTAATAGCAACTCTAATGATAAACAAACTTTATTATGTTATTACCACTCATATGCACGAGATATTTTGTTGGCTTTAGTAGTATTCAGAAAAAACGAGGAACATGTAAACAGTATTTAAAATTCAAACTTGAAATTATGTTCTCAAGTGAACTAAATTATATTAACTTTCTCGAAAATTTTTAGTGTTCAATATAGAGAATATTTTACTTTATAATTTTATTAAGATGTTCTCAAATAAAATTCTTTACAAATAAATTGAAAAAATATAACATTAATTTATATTATAAAATATAAATTTCAAATATAATTTTCTAATTTATATATAGAATGCTAAGATTGATGCAAACTTGTTCTGAAATTCTTGTAATAAATTAACAAAAAATTAAAAAGTTTATAAACCTCAAAAATTTAAGACATTATAGATATTTTTTTTAAACATTAACATTCTTAAAAAATAAAAATGTACCTTAAAACATGAGAATATTGAATTTTAAATGCTGTTTATAAAGATATTATGCATTGAATGCATTTTTATTATATTTTGCATTAACAATTATAAATTATAAATTATAAATTACATTTGTAGTTATAACTTTTTTACAAATATAACATCAACATTTTGATTCAATTTATATAATGTAAAATCAATTGCTAGTATCAAATTACAGCATTTATATGCAATATTTCGATACCCAGTGTCAAAATTGTAGAAAAATACCACGATTTGATTCGCCCAATTATGGCAAATCGATTTTGTTATTTTTATGCGATACCGACTATTAGTTATCGTAAATATTACATATTTAACACTCTCCTTATGTTTAGCAGCCTGAAGAAAAGTTTATTATTTGAAACTTAATTTTTCTAATTATTTTTTTTTAGGAAGCTAACCATTTCAAGTATTTAAAATTTTTATTTTTATTTTCAAATTTATTAATTAGATTATTATCTAAAATTTAAAAAGTGTTCTATAATATTTTGCTATAACATTATTTTTAAATTATCTTCAAACTGCAGTTTAATTAAAAATCTAACAAATTTTGAATCAATTTGAGTCAAATTGCAGTTAAGTGAAGCCTACTTCAAATAAATCAACAATCCTAATAAGAAAGAAATTGGAGAAACTTCAATATTAAATATTCATGTCAATGACTTTATATAAGCAATAAGAAAAACTTAGTCGTTTTATAAGAAAAAAATAAAAAAAAATAACAAATTATAACATACTAATTCTAGAAATATAATCAACACACATTGTCATTACTAAATTACATAAACTAATGAAATGAAGCTTAGTCTTTTATAAAGAAAAAATAAAAATAACAATTGTTAACATGATAATTCTAGAAATGTAATCAATATAAATCGTCTTTACTAAAATAACACAAGACTAATGAAATAATATTGCAATTTATTTTAAAATTACCACAGTTTATATAATAATAAAACATTAAACTTCTATTAACATATCTCATATATATTATTAAGATAAAATTAATCTTTAGAATAAATTTCATTTCAGAAGCTCGAACATGCCCATTTTTTACAGGCTTCTGATGTTAATTCGAGATTTTTCGAAACATCTATTGTTGCACACTTCCAGTAGTTAATGGATTTAGAGGGCAAGTGCAGCAAGATAAGGAACAGGACTGAATGTTTTACAATTAAAGTATTTCTTTATTGTTCTAAAAGTTTCTATAGTAATTTATATGCAAATCGGTCTTTACAAAATTAGTTTCTTTTTATTTTTAATAGGAGCGAAATGGAGGTTTCTGATCACCAGCAACAAAAAGTGAGTCTAAACTAGACTACAAAAGGAGTTTTGAAAAGGTTTCTGATCATCTACAACACAATGACACGCATTAAAAAGTTTATTCAGGCGCAGATAATTTCAGCTAACTAAAAACTACAAATGTTCAAAATCAAAGTTGAACTTAGTTTCTGCCAACAATATCAAAAACGAGTTATGGAATATTTTGGATAAAGACCATTCTTCACTTGTACGCAAGGTTTAAAGTCAATCAAATAAAGGGAAAAATAATAGTTACGGGCAAAAAGGAATAATTATGAGTAAGAATCATTTGATTAGAGCATGTCGTTTGAAGGCTTGGTATCTTATACAAATTGTTATAGCTAATTCTATTTTTACGCTCTTCTATATTACATTTCAGCTCCTCCGTACAATAAGATCAAACACAATATAAATGATATCAACAAAGAATTTTGGAGAGAAAAGGAGAAATATGAATCACCAGAAATAGTGTCCAAAAAGATTTAGTACTTGTCAAAAATGGGTGTTTCTCAAAGGATTAAGTAAAAATCGATAATCATGTCAAAATTTAATAAAGCGATTGTGTAAATAAACTTACGAACTGATATTGATATTAATCCAGAGATATTGTTCAAGTCGTGTGCATATAAAAAGAATTATAAACTCACAGATTACATGGTTACTACAGCAACATTATCGAGATCAGGAATTGTAAACTGATTTAATTATTGTGGCGGTAACGACTTGGAAGCATCCCACAACCCATTTTGATTAGATCAATTTTTATAATCTGCATTGTCTGTCTTATTTAGCATGTTTAACATATATCCACTGTATCACTTGCCAATTCTTTTCGTATACATCATATAATATAACTTTGTCACAGCCATACTATAATATATAACTTCATTTGGTGTCAGCTTTTTATCTTGAACGATGATCTTACTTCTTGTAAATTTGTTAATGATTTGTTCCGTTGCCATTATTATTCTAGGTCATCTGCAGTCGCTCTTGCATATGGGTTCACTATTCTTGCAGTTTCTTCCATTATAATCTCTGTTAAGTGATTCATTTGTTGTTAATTTCCTGATCGTTGCTCTTTTTCAGTGGGAAGTTTACTGTTGTAATGGCGATGGCTGTGATAATGTAATTAAATAAGTATAGGTAGTGAACACAATAACGAAGATACCTATGACATGAATTTCAATGCATCAGCCTTCATCCCACATGGAAGCACTAACAGAATAAATTAACATCATCTTCTTGCTTTAACATTCTTCTGGCCACACTTGCTATGACGTAAAAAGATCGGTCAATCCAAATTAATTGATAATTAACTTCTTAATTTTTATTCATTAGCAATCTTCCTTAAAGAAGATTTCTACATGTATATATAATGATTCACAAGAAAACAAAAAAAATTTTGAAAGAATAACAAGGATAACTTGATGAAGGACACAATACACAATTCTTCGAATCAAACATAACTAGAATTTTGCGCTTATAAACCGAAAGTTCTAATTATTTTTAAAAATCTTTATTATCAACAAATTTTTAATACCTAATATTAGTTATTATGTCCTCAATCCCATTACGGAACTATCTATTATCAATATTCTTACTCGAATATTCGAGCATTTTCATCGAGGAGAAAAAAACCAAGGTACTAGTAAATCAAATTATTTCGATGTTGTGATCGTGATGTAATTGATTAAATTTAATTGGAATGCATGTGCAAATAAAAACTAGATAAAAATTTGAAAAATTTTTTTATATGGTTGAAAAAGTAATAACCATGCGCAGTAACGTTCATAACAAAATAGAACGGACACTTCAAAGGAAATACGTTCGATCTACAAATGCTGTGAAATCTGTCATTGTAAAATAATATTTAACGTTAATATGTGCACGTACTTTTTAGCATAAAGATTTTACCTCGATATAATTCGACGAAATGAAAATTTTGCCAAATTTTCATTTGAGCTTATAGTTTTGGTTTATCTTTGAAATATTACATGTTTATGATATTTTAAAGCGTTATAATGAAAAAATATGTTGTATAATTTTTGAGTTTAAATGCGTATCAACGCTTGTGAGACATACGCTGTATATTAAATTTACCTTCGCTAGGTACATGTAAATTGAAGTTTGTCGTTTCGGTATTGATATCAATATCATATTCTGTAGTTGCAGTTGCATGCAAATATTTAATTTGTTCAGGTAAATTATACGATTGAAAAATATGGTTTAGTGTTAAGTTAAAATTACCTCGACTATCTTGACTGAGATCGCCTTGATTCAACAAAGATGAGAACTCTACCCGTTTTCTTGGTTGTTCCGACGTGCTTTCAATAGGACGTTTTTTCTGTTTATAATCTTTGAATATGCAAAAATTTTAACCAGTTAATGAAAATACATACACCGGTATGGTTAATCTTTTCCATTAATATATGCTGACATTGTAAAATGCAAAAATAATGTGAGTTAAAATTTAACTAATAATAATTAGTATAACTATGACATAATTACTAAACTTTTACTTTCATTTATTTACATGCAAACTGGCACTTTTAATATAAAAGTCTAGTTAATTTACTA